GGAGAGAGGTGGGGAGGGGAGGGGAGTGGTGTCGAGGTGTGACTCTCACCCCGAGCAGGGGCTGTCTCTGAAGAAGACCGCTCTGCTCTCTCCCCAGAACCTCTCTGACCACGCTGTCGGCACAGACCCACCGGCAGAGAGGACAGGTCAAAGGCAGTGAGTATCTTTTTCTCTGTGTCTGTCTTGTCTGCAGTGCCTCTGTGTTCGGCTTTTTCTGGCTTTCTCTGCATGGGAATGGATGGTCTTAAGCTCCTGAAGCCCCTGAGATCTCACGTCAAGTTTTGTTGGCTGGTTTGTTTTTTTTTTGTTTTTAAACCTTTGTGCTGCTATTTTTTCTTATTGGGATGGCTTCTTTATCTTTGCTCAGGTGTTTTGATAACCTGAATGTCCTAATCACACCCCTCCCTTTCTCTCTCCCAAGGAGAAACCCCCAAAACATATCCATGATGAGACTGGCAATTCTCCTTGACCAGGGTCCTTTCATAGGAGGGGGAGGTAGGATGAATGATGGAGTAGGAGGCAAAGACCTTCACCAGGACCCCTATTGCAATGCCTTTACCAGACTACACAGATTATATCTGAAAGTCAAAATTAATTGGCTTTATTTGGAATCAGAGGAAATATCTGTGGGTATGTCAGCCCAGCAGTGGGATTGCCTTGACAGGAAATGTAGGTCTCAGCATCCGTGAAGTCAGTCAGACTTTGGGATCACAGGGAAGTTGGGTGCTGCTCAGCAGTGCAGCTGGTTGCTGTGGGGGCTGGCGAGGGGGTGGGTGTGGGGGTGAGCAGAAGGTTGTTTCATAACAGTCCCCCAAAAATCAGGCTGCTACAGGAGGCTGCAAGGGAGTGGGCACCCGTCTCCACTTCCAGCTGTGGCTGTGGAGCAGCAGTGGGAAAGAGGAGCAGGGGCTGCTGGACTCTAGGAAATCATGTTCTGTGGCCCCCACATGAGGGTGAGGTTGTTAATGAGGAAATTTAAAGGGGCTTAAGGAATTACAAGGATTGATTTCAGTTAAAGCGCATCGAAGCAGCCGGTCAGGGTAGGGATTAAGGAAATGCACTCACTGGCATGTAGCACAATCCCAGTTCCATTAATTTAGTTGGGAAGAGGCTTTGTGCATTTTTAATGTAATCAGGTTTTAAGAGGGATGTTGCATTGGGCAGCCCAAGCTTCAGGATCTCTCCAGGCCCCAGCAGAGCAGGGTCCTGACTCCAGGCACACCCTCCTTGCTCTCATCAGTTCCTTTGTCTTCTCCTCGGTTGTTCCCAGTGGACAAGAAGACATGACAAGGAAGTTACCCAGAGCTTAGCACTGTCCTGGTGTCTACCTTTGCTCACTGTACAGTCCTGCTCTCTGTCCCCTTGGTCTCCTGGCTGGTGGATCTCACCTTCACTCTCTGATGTGAGATTCGTTCAACCAGCTGCCTGTGTGCCAAGACTCACAGGGACCCCACCATCCCCAATGTCCCTCTCTCCTTCCACCCTTCCCTTCCCTTTGCAGACTGTGCATCTCCTTGGTGGCTCCCTGCAGGCTCCCACCGCTCCAAAGAGGAGTTGCTTGCTTTGAGTACTTTTGTGCGAGTGCTTGAGCCTGTGATGGTGAAAAGACCAGCACCTGCAGATGCGTGAAGTCCTCCTGTTATTTTATTTGCAGTGCCAAATTTTCCATGATGCCTGGCCAGTAACATCAGCCATGACCTGGAGGGACAGGGACAAGAGGTAGTTTGGTCTTCTTAGCGAGGTCAGCCTGGAGCTCTGCCCGTTGAGGAGAGACCTTCAGAGGTGTTGAATGATGAGTGCGATAATGCCAACTCCTGCTGCTCCGTGGTGAGCTGTGACGCCAAACTCAAATCACTTTAGACCTGAAGCTGGACTTAGCCTGCGGTCCTGGGCTTAGAAGGAAATGCTGTCTCTCCTCTGTGATCATCCCTCAACTCTGAACGTCTTCCGTTGAAAAACTGACCTTCCGCACTAGGAGGCGAGGATCAAATGGGTTGAGAAAAACTGGCCCTCCTCGTTTTTGGGCAAAGAGGATTCTTTCATATACTTTTAAGTGCCAGGACATGAAACAGTAAATCCCTCCTTCCTGCACTCCTGTCTCCTGCAAACAGCCCCGACTGCGGTCCAAGCCAGCCAGTTAAAGGGTTAACCATAACTGGATGCCTGAATGGCTGCCTTACTGATCCCACGGAGGTAACTGGAAAGACACAATGCATTCCTCACCCTTGCCTATCCTGTCACTGTCTACCTCGTCCAGCAAGCCCTTCAACTCTCTGCAGTGTCCCCTCTTCCCTCCTGCCTTTCTCTTGCCTCTCCACCTGCTGCAGACCTGGTTTCTTTCCTTCTCTTTCTCCTGTGTCCTGTCTTGGAAGTCCTAACCAAGAGAAGGGTGTTCCATGAGACACAAGCTCCTCGCCCATGGTGCAGAGTCTCTGTCCCCCATATGCTCTGATTCCCTGCTGCATTCCCTTGATCTCAGGCATCAGAGGGAAATCTGAGCAGCATTGCGGTAATGCATGTCACACCTCTTGCTGGGAAATTCGTGAGCTCTCTAGAACAAACAGCACAGGGAAGAGAAAGGTTGGGAGTAGGAGGCATCAGGAAAGGTACCAGAAGCATCCTATTGTGGACTTGGTGTCTGTTTGAGCTTGGCAGGTCCAGTGTGCTCAGCTGGGAATGTGACACTTTCTGAGCTATGCCTGAGGTTTATGGAGTGTAGCATCCCAGGCCCATGGCCATGGGTCCATGGTTGGAAGCTGTGCAACAATTCCTGTGACTGAATATCTCCTGGTTTTTGTGCCTGTTAAACGCTGTGAGCTGCCTGTGCTGCACCAGGGAGACACTCGGTGCATTTAATTAACATTTAATTTGCTTTAAGATTACATTAAAATGTGCAATAATAGAAGCTCTCTGAAGGGCAGGAGGAGAAGGGGGAAACAGGCATGCTACAGATTGGCTCAGGCGCTGGTGCTGAAGTGTTCTGCAAGAATTACATATGGGAGGGAAAAAATACTGTACTTCTGCAGCCACAGAAAGTGTTCAGCATCTGTTTGGCAGCAGAGCTTGGAGAAGGGCTTTCTCTAGCTCAAAAGGAGGTCTGGGAGCTGCGAAGTGGAGACTGGGTCACTAAATCCTCCTCCCAGGGTCCGAAAAAGAGAATGGCCTAGTTCGATGTCCAGGGAATTTGTAAGAAGAGATCCCCTGGGGCTGGAGAGGCAGATCACAGGCTCTGCCCTCCTAGAGTCCATATAAACCCATTAAGCAGCCCCTATATGTCTTGGAGAGGAGATGATGCCAGTCCCATTTAATGCATGTGTGTTCTGTTTCCCTCTCCCTTTGTGTTCCTCCCCATCCTGGGGTTACATAATGAAAGATGCTGCGGCTGCTGCCCCGGGAAGGGGCTGGCAAGGACATGAGGGGCTGGCAGAGGACTGAAGGCTCTGGGGCTGGTTTGAAATTTAGAGGAAAAAAGCAATAAAGCCATTTTCTGCCTGGGTAAGCGTGTCAGGAGAGAGGCAGTTTTATCCTGCTTATGTAACCCGAGTCTAAAGGAGCTGCTCGGGATTGATCCTGGCCGAGGACTCAGCTCTGCAGCACAGGCTCACCTTGCAGGTGCCTTACTCCCCCTCTCCTTCCTCCAGTCCACTCCTGCCCTCCAGCCCTGGTATTTGTGCTGTTTCTGGTGCTGCTGGAACATGGTGACTGATTGCTGCCCATTGGTCTCCTCCCACACCTGACCAGAGCAGGACTTTCCAAGAAACCATCCCAAATCGCAGCCTTTAAAAGCCTTTTTGCCAGCTGGAGCAGCTGAATGACTGGTGTGGGTGAAGCCTTCAGTTGCTCTGGTGCTGTGTCCATCCTTGCCATCTCCCTGGCATCTTACTGGAGATGCCTCAGGGTCCCTCTCACAGTTGAGGGAACCAAGGACACAGGTCTGATGAGGCACAGAGCCACTGAGGTTTTTTTGGTTTGTCTGTTTTTGCCAATGTGGCTAGACGTATAATGACCATCTTCTTTGGTTTTCCCCTGCTAACCCCCCTGCTCCCCCACATCGACCACAGGAACAGAGGGATGAGGACTCGCCTGGGCTGCCTGTCTCACAAATCAGACTCATATAATGATTTCACAGCTATTCTTCCGGACAAGCCCAACCGGGCTTTGAAGTGAGTATAGCTGCAGCATCCCACCCCAACCCCATTTCTGTCCTTCCCCTCCCAGCCCAGCACCCCCTCCAGTATTGTCTTCCTTTTGTTGTACTTTGTATAAGCTTTGACTAGTTCTTTTAGCCACAAGGAAGGAGGAGAACAAAACGGCACTGATACAGCAGGAACAGCCTCAAGAAATTCCTGGATCATTGACATGAGTTCTCCTGTGAGACAGGACATGTACACAGTCCCCACTGCTGTATGTGGGACATGTCTGCACCTCTTTGAGGATGTAATTTACACTTCTGTCATCACAAATCAAAGCCTGAGCAGTTGGCTCGGTATAAGAGGTGACCAGCAATTTCAGGTCACAGTCATCTTCAGCTAAGCCTTGCTATTAAACCCTGCCAAAATTTGGGTGATGGTTTGCATGATGCTAAAGGTAGATGTCTCAGACCATCCAGAGTCCTGATTTTAGATGAGTGGGATGGGGTTCATCTCATCACAAGTCACTGCTTATACCTGAGCTAAGATCGGTCCTTCCCCTGAAAGGCCAGCAAGATAAACAAACATTTCTGCAGTGGTGGGTTTCATTTCACTTGACTTTTGACTTTTACAATGTAAATGTCTGTGTCTGAGCTTGTTCCCTGGGCTTCTCCTTAGAGTTAATGAGGAAAAATTGGTCCCTTTTTGACTGCCTATTTTAACTGCCTACCTGGGAATTGTGAGATGAGCAGAGTTAAGTCTCTGCAAGTCCCTTGGTATCTCCTCACTGATTCTAAAGGGAGCTCAGGGTCTCTTGGCTCACCTGGAAACCTCTACATTGTAGACCTCCAAAGTCAGGTGAGAAGAATTCCAGCCTTCCTCGGTGTCCTCATCAAACAGCCTCAGAGGGGATCAGCAGCCATGTGTTGTCTGTAACTTATCCCTTCCTTGCCTTACAGAAGACTGTCAACAGAAGAAGCAACAAGATGGGCAGACTCCTTTGATGTCCTTTTGTCTCATAAATGTGAGTAGAGATAAAATTCTACCTTTCTTCTTTTCCCCTTGTACCCTCAATACCTGTTGTAACTAAGGCAAACAAAGCATGTGTTGCACAGCAGGGGAATGATCCCTCAGACAGTTTCTCACTACCCAGTGGTTATTGTCCTTTACAGGCAGGACTTGCCCCCTGGTTAAAAGGTTTCAGTGTGTTCCCTTCCTGATTTTGCTCCTGACTGGAAAACCACAGCTGCTAAAGTCATCAGCCCGAGGTGTTGCCTTCTCCAGTTCTTGGGGATGCACTGGAGGCAGGAGCCTAAGGCTGTAGCCCTGCAGACCATCCTTTGGCATGTGCCTCTGGGTCCAGCCTTTCCACACAAGCAAATGGCAGTGTCAGCTCACTAAATCCCCCAAGATCCACAACACACCTTGTTTCCCTCTCCCCCAGCTGCTCTCAGAGCTGCTGTGCAGCCACACTGTGTTGAAGCTCAGCCTTTGCTGCTAGCACCACAACACACCAGTCTACGTGGCTCAGTAACCTTGAACAACTTGCTCTGTCGCAGAGAAATCATCCCTGGTCGCCCTGAGCAGAATCTAATTTACAGTTATCAACGCAAAGCTGAAAATTTCACCTCCAGAAACCTTACGCCAGCTTATAATCAGTGCACCTCGCTCTGTTCAATAGATCAATCGTATCAGTTCTGTTCAGCAATATTATTCTGCTTTGCCAACATCTTCACGCTGAGAAATTATAAACAAGACAGCGAAATTCACAGTATGGGTTCATTCATGTGTTTCTATTGGAGAATAAAATCTGAGCGAGTCAAGGTTGGGGAAAAGTCAACGTGGGCGGTGAACTGTTTTATTGCAATAGGGAGCTGTCTGGCTTGCTTAGAGATTCAGGTTTTTCTGCACTTACATGTTAAAATATATGTGTAGAATTATGTTATTAAGGAAAGTGTAATTGTGCTGCATTTCTACTGAGATGACAACAGTTTTGGCAGGGAATTAAGTGACAACTTTAAACAGGCTGGCTGACCAAGGCAGAAAAAGCAGTATATAATTTTAGCAGCAGTATCTAGTTGAGATCATTGCTCTTGCAACCAATAGGGGAAAAAAAAATATGGTGTAGCTGGGTATGGCTAGGAGGGAACATTTCTTTTGTGGAAATTCAGAATCAAGAAGGGGGAAATGCACCAGAGAGACTATCAGGTGTCCGGGGGATGGGGAGGGGGAGGACAGGATATTCCCATCACTGTTACCATCCTGATCTCCAGCTCCTCTTTCTTATTCACCAGTGTAAAAGTTGAAGTTTTCCTTACTAGATACAGACTGCAGCAAAAGTGCTTTGGTTACAAAACCCAGTGAATTTGCCCATCTATGTCCTGACGTTATACAGATTGTTCCCTCTTCAGCTGACTACTGCAAATGCTAAATCAAACCTTAGTTCAATTATTTTGTCCAACAGCCTCCACATGAGTGTCTGGTTTTATTAATAAATTAGCCTCATAGAGTGATAAATGAATTATCAGGATTTTGCCTGTCTCTTAGAACGGAAAGTAATTCTGATAACTCTCTGGCACTAATGAAAAATATTCAGTTCCTAATAGCAACAGAAGGTGATCTTTAAAATTTAAATTAATCTTTTTTTATCAGCAGTCACAGTGACATTGCCTGGTGATCAGTGACAAAAAGAATTTGTTGTTTAATAAACTACTTGCTAAAGGAATATGTTATAACTGCTCTGCACCTGAAGTTTCTGGAATTGCCAGCCTGGCAGTCAAGGGTTAGAATGATGCAAATACAAAATGCACTGTTGAAACAGAAGTGCTAATTTAGTTACACTGGCTTAAAGGAGAGAAGAGTATATACTCATGAAATTAACTATACTGTATGAGTTGCATTTTTGCTGTTAGAGAAGTGCTGATGTTAGACAGGTAAGGGAGCCTTATGCCTTATCTAGCCAAAACTGGAGAGTAAAAAAAGCTTAGCCTGGCCTGCCAGCATCTGTCTGTAGTGGACCTGCCAGCTAATATTCTGCTTTTAGTGCCAAGAGCAGGACAGAACTGTCTCAGGCTGATTTCCCTCTGAATGCTCAGGTGAGCAATATTAGCCAGGGAAAATTTGAATTCATGCTTGGGGGCATGGGCTGAGCACCAGCTGGACTGGGGGAGAATTCCCCCACGGGGATCACAGGTACATCTCTTCTGCTTGACACATCTGTCATGCACTCTGTCTTCACTAGACGGACAGTTCATCTATTTTAGAAAGGAGATTGTGATGCTGATTTCAGGGTTTGTGTGGTGCTTTCTGCTGTGGTCAGATGTTACAGTGGTTTTGGGTCCCTTTTAGCCAAACTGTTCTTTGGGGAAAATAAACCCTCGAGTGCTCACGTAGGACTCAGGAGCTGGATGTAGCAGCTGAAAATGTGGCACACCTTGTTGGCAATATTGCAAGGGATTAGACAGATGCAAAAATTGCTTCAAGGAACAAGAAAACGGATCAGTGCTCCCTAAAAGACTCTCCAAAGCACCAAGGTAAGCAGGCTGCCCTGATACATGGAGAAGGCTCACAGGGTTGTGGTACACGTTGTAAGACAGGCAAAACACTTCTTCCCCTTCCTGTTTTCATGAGTCTCCAAAAGGTTTCTAAATGGAAGAGACTTCAATAGGTATCACGTATTATACAGACTCTGTGGAGAGTGTCATTATGCCAGACTGGATGGAGCTCTGAGCACCCTGGTCTAGTGGAAGGTGTCCCTGCCCATGGCAGGGGGTTGGAACAAGGTGATCTTTAAGGTCTTTTCCAACCCAAACCTTTCTGTGATTCTATGATCACTTTTGCCAAATGTCCCTGGAAGTGTGATGACCCTGTGGAGCTCCTGCCTTGCATAGGTAATGTTTGATCCTGACCTGCTGCTGTCTGGCAGCACCTCAAGTGGAGGACTCAAATCCCCTGGGATTTGAATAGTTGCTTGTCTGCAGAGATTCCCAGACTGGATAATGCCCTTCTGCACAGAGTGGTCTGATTTGGATTAATTCACCAGTCATTTAAAGGATAATTTGTGTTGACATCAGCAAGAGATTGTGAGTAGGAAAGGCAGGAAGGCTCTCCCTGTTGCTCCCCCACCTTCCTTTTGCATTGACTTTGGGGATCCAGCATCCCTCAGCCCTCCTAGGGTAAGCAGTGCTGAGCAGTTGGATGCAGCACAGCTCCTTTTCACTGACAGCCCCAGATGGATAGGTCAGTGCGATGATATCCTAATTGTTTTTCCTAATGGGTGCAGCGAATCAACTTAAAACCCTAAGGTCAGCCAGACAATCCCTATTTTACATCAGGAGCCTTGTCTGAGCTCACTGCCAGACGCAAGCACAGCACAGCAGTGTTCCCTGGGGTCAAGGCTTCTGAGCATGGCAAGCAACAGGAGAGATCCTCCTCTTCCCAGGGAATTGAGAGAGTAAGAGACACATTGTATGCAGTGTGCTTCCTCAGGTGCCCAGGGAGCAAAAGCAGTGAGTTTAACAAGTGAGATTTTGGCATATTTTCCTGCTTTGTGCCAGAGCGATGGTTCTCAAGGAAGCAGAGCTCAGTGTGGTCCCCAGAGTGTGTGTGCATGTGTGTGAGTAACTGAGGAGTAATCCCCTCTCTACCCATGCCCAGGAGGTACAGGCTGGTCAGCCAGATGAGGATTTCTTTTGACAGGCTGCTGGAGGGAAATACAAGCAATAGCATGTCTCATTCTGCATCCCTTGCGGGGCTGGACACATGGCTTGTCATTTGTCCAGAATCCAGCAGGACAGTCTGTCCTCAACCCTTAGTCACTTTTCAACGAAGCATCCAACACTGAAAATCTTTGTGCTGAATTTCCACTTTTATCTCAAGAGTGTTTCCCCCCCCCGCTCCAGATCTCTGTGATCTCTGTGCTCTTCTGCCCAAACTTTATTGTTGTTCTCGTCCTTCTGTTGTCTACACATTCCTCCTCTTCCTACACAGCACAGGAATATCCCAACCTACTCCTAGTTCTTTCTAAGCCAGAACAGCATTAGCATTAGCATTGTGCTGGTGACAGGCAGCTAAGATTAAACGGAGCACTGCTCAGCAGCAGTGAGAACACTGTACGTGTGCTGAGCAGAGCTCTGCGACCTTGTCTCTCCAGCCCTGGACCCAACATGCTCCATAGAGTTAATCCATTCATCTACCAGCCACAGAGACTCTACCTTTACTCCCTACATGAAGTCTGATTGCTGATGGAGTGAACCATGTGCATTAAATAAATGATTGTTGATTGCTTTCTTGCTCTGTCAGTGGCAGGTGCTTGGCTATTAAGCTACTTGCCTGTCTGATTTCGGCCACTAATCTTGGTTCTTCCTCATGCTGCATTAGTTAAGACCTGTCTTGTGTTTTCTGCTTGCCACTTCAGTCCCTTCCTCCACAGCCCTTCTTGCTGGAAAGTATCTACTCTCCATGGCCTGAAGAACAACATTTGAGTGGGATATCAGGAGCTCCTGAGCCCCTGTCCTCTCATGGTCATTGATCTGCCTGGCACTGCCCAGCTGTAAAACATAAATTCTTGTCATTTCTTAATTCCCAGGTGACATGTAAGGTCTTGGGATGAGGTAAGGTGTGAGCACTTGCACAACCCTTCCTGGCAATCCTCTTGCATGTTCCCTCAGTCTGTTTGAATGGAGAGCAGGGCAGCTTTACACTGCTAAATAAAACTGGAGAGCAGGGCAGCTTTACACTGCTACGTAAAAACACTTTGGCTTCTTTCTCATATTCTTAACTCTCAGTAAAGAGCTCCGTTTCTTTGCCTTCATCCTATCTGCTCCATCAGTACTGTTTTACTTTGGCTTCTTTCAAGCAATGCTGGAGTCAAATTCCTAATTAATTGTCCCACAGTTGTCCTGAAGGACAGTGCATCCTGTCCATCCTGTCCTCTTGAATGGCCACGCCTTTAGGCTATGTGTTAGGGATGTCTTGGTCTGTCCATCCTGTCCTCTTGAATGGCCATGCCTTTAGGCTATGTGTTAGGGATGTTTTGTACTGCTGCATCTGAAGACTTCTGATTTTAATTTCTGTGCCTTTTCTGTAAAGCATCCCTTTGGATTTGCACTTCTCAGGTGCTCCAGCTGTCTGCCAGGATATTTCAGGAGATGATAGATGCTGGCCTGCCCATATCACACCCCAATGCAGTGCTGCTTGGCCCAGAAAAAAAAAGCTGTCCCATTGGGCAGGATGAGCTTTGAAATGCTGATCATTCACGAGGGACACTTCCTTGATAGCCTTCATGTGCAGAAGGAGATTAGAGTCAACATCCAGGTCAGATTCCAGTTCAGATAGTGGCAGTCCCCATACCTAATTGTCCTCCTGCCCTTTGAATCAGATTTGTCATTGTTCCATTATAAACTTGTGGGCAGTGATTTACTGCTGCACAGTCATCTGGGCTCCCATCCCCAAACCTGTCAGGCACAGCTGTAAATGCTGGCAGGCAGTCAAGGGCTAAAGAGGAAATCTGTGGAGAGCCAGGCAGCCTCGAGTCAAGGATGACCTCTCCTGTGTCCAAAGCCTCCTCTACAAGGTCCTCACAGGTTCAGCCTCATCATTTCCAGCTCCTCGAAGGCTGTGAGGAGTGCATGACAGGAATATATAAAGAGAGCAGAGAACAGCCAGACACTATTATTTATCCATTCACTGTCTAAACTTACTTCAAGATAAAAAGGAGTTGATTGACATGAGAGCAGGAGGCACAGCACATGGAAACCTCCTGGTCCCAGGGGGACCTGCTGTGGCTGCTCTTCGGGGCAGGGCTGAAGTAAACGCCTTTCTCTCCTTGTCAATCTTGTTCCTTTCCTTTAGCAGATATTATATTTTTCAGATATTAAATTTTCCAGATATTATATTTTGTAGCTATTATAGTTTGCAGATATGATCTTTCCATGCAATGCTGCTATTCCTGCAAATGATCCTCTGCCAGTGCTGGGGGTTCTGGGGCTGTTGTAGAGGAAAAGGGGGGAAAAAAAGCCCAGGACAGAGGCAGGGGAGTAAGACCTCTGCAGGGACACATAGCAGAGACTGCATAGTCATAGCTACGTGCTTGGGTGCTGGAATATTTAATGTCAAGCATCCTAGGAGCTGATGATACATAAAATGACAGATCTTGATGGACTGCAACTTCCTCCCTTTTGTACTTTCTTTTTTCTAAAACCTGTCAGCCTGCTGTTATGTCCTCTCCTTTTCCTCCTGCAAAGAGTCCCTGCTCTGTCCTCCAGTCCTTCACTTGCTCCCACACAGGCCCTGTGAATTTTATAGGCATTAAAGAGGATACAGGTTTTGGAAAATGTTTCTGTGGTCCAAATTTCAGGAAGGGGAGCAACCCTAAAACATCCCTCTCCTTCACCATATTTAACTACTCACAGAGATGCTCAAAGCAGCCACGGGCAGTGTGATCCTGGTAGGTGCTCTGCTCCTGGAGATGCTTGTGGCACTCTGCTCTGCAGACTTCTCCGGAGCTGATGTCACATTATCGCCCCAGGCTTAGACCCACAATTTGCACTGTTAATTGCTCTACAGTGCTCATGGATAAGAGCCCTGGTTTTGTCCACTGTAGCAGTGTGAAAACCTGATCTCCCTCTAAAAGTGCTTTAATTAATAAGTGTCAGGACCAGTTGAAATGATACAGCTATTTCTGGGGCTGACAGGAGGAGGAAGCATAGCTGAGATGGGACATATCCATTTTTGTTGCCGATCGCAGACTGCTGATGGAGCAGTTAGCTCAGAGCCCGTTAATGAAGGAGCCTTGAGAAAGCCAGAGCAGAGAGGTTTAGCCTCTAATTTGGTCTTGTCTGGCCTAATATATTTTCTGCCTTTCCCATTGAGAATCTGGGCAGGCAGACATCTCCACTGACTGATGTGTAGCCAGAAATAGGATTGTTTGTTGCTGTTCAATACCCAGGGCC